GCGATTTAAAATATCGACGATATATATCGATGTTTTTGCCCAAACCTATTGTGCATACTTGAACGTCCGCCATTGCAATTGCAGTGCATAAGTTCTTTCTTAACAAAATTCTGTCCGCCTTTTTTATACGTCCATGGCTGGCCTATTGCCACTGCAGCTTACTGATCCGTTGGGCTAAATATATTACTTTGGGGAGATATCTTCTTTTCAAAACTCAGAGAAACTTCAAACCACTTACTTCCTAATATTATGGTCAGCGGTGTACCACTTCTCAGATCCATATGTCATCACATCAATCATTAATATTTAGTTTAATATATTAACAAACAGCGGAAAATTCGATATCAAAGCGAGTGCAGTTTTTCGCCAATAATAAACTGATCATAATATGTATGCTGTGGTAATTAGTGTAATAATTCAAAGCTGTACAATTTTAAAGCAAATAAATAATAAAAGCCCAATTAGAAAACTTTTTACACTTTGCTAACACAACAAGAAGAAGATTAAATTTTAAGATGACATTAAGTGTCATGGTTTCATAGTCACTTTGACTTAAAGTGATATAGACAGCACAAGAGTTAATGGCATCTTAAAATTGAGATGTATTTGTATATTTAGGCAATAGTCTCTCACTCATTCTAACCTAACGTATTCAAAAAGCAGTTTAGGTTATAAGTAGGCTTCAAAGTAGGGTTGCCACCCTTACTATAATATATAATATCGTACCTATATTTCAGTCAATTGTACTATATATTATAAAAAAATAATATAGTAGTTTTTTTTATATTAATTGTGGCTGGAAGTCTGGAACAAGTAAGTTTTACGGAAAATAGATTCCATCATGAATGTAAAATGGAATATAGAGATTGTATTAATTTAAATAAAATAGAATTGTTAGTTTATTTTAATATTTATCTAAATTGCTCAGATTCCTATAATTAATTATTAATTCAATAATAGATCATTAATAGCCAAAGTGAAGAGCAATAACAAATATATACGGAAATATACCTAAAGATTAAAAATGAATGTGTACTTTTTTTCCTGAATTTTCTAAAAGTATTATATTTTTGCATCTTTTTTGGGAAAAATACTATATTTGTTCAAAAAAAGGTGGCAACCCTACTTCAAGTAATGTCAGATATGGGACAATCACAAAAGATCCCACTTCAATTAAAGAACTCTTGGAACAGAGAATGGAGCACATCCAGACATATTAAAGGTTGTCACTTTGGTAAAATTCAACCCCAAATCCCTCCAAAACCTTGGTTCTTTAAATTTAGCTTTTTGAACAAACAAATCACATCTACAATCTGCCGTTTAAGGCTTGGGCATGCCTGCACTCCTGTATTTCTAGCTAAAATTAGAATCAAAGATCATTCCCTCTGTGAATGTGGACTGGATGAAGGTACCCCAGACCACATTTTCTTTAATTGCCAAAATCACCCAATTTCTTTATATGACATTCTTCCCAACACAATCCCTCGACCAATGAATATCAATTCCCTCTTAACTATCCCCAATTCCATATATGTCAATATGATCTCAAAATATATTCAAATGTATAATATTAAACTCTAATTATCGTGTACTAAATTTAGCTTAAACTAATTCTCTATTCCCTGCCCTGGCTAATTCTCTCCTATAACTAGATGTTTGCTCTATATTGTGTGGTCCATAATTTATGTATTTAGTTGCTTTGTTTTTATCCATATTTTCACCTAATAACCGCTAACTCCTTTTCCACCGAAAAGCCTAAAGACAAGGTGCGACAGACCAAGGACCGGACATTGGCAGAATTATTGTGACATAATCACAATACCAAGGGCCAAATAGACCAAATAATAATAATAATAATCCCACTTCAAACTCAAAATTGAGCTTTTAATGAATTTTGGCTTTCATAGACGTGTAAACCTCAACCAAGAAAATCTAATAGACAGGGTGCACTGCCCCTTCAAGCACAAGGATGTTAATCAATTTATTTCTAATTAAGGCAAAGGCCTTACCTTATTTATCCTGAAAGTTAAAAATTGCATTCCACTAAGAATGTAAACATGTAAAGGGGTTTGTAAGCCAAGTTCGATGCAAACAGTATTTGCGGTTGTCATCTTTGCCAATAAGAGTTGTAAATAAATTACTGGAAAACAAGTCTCCTGTTAAAAAAAAACAATGTGTTTGTCTTACTTGCGCTATCTGTTTAATTTTGCTTAATATGGTTGAACTGCCATCTTATTACTATCATATGACCGAATAGACCCACGAAGTACCATGTGCTCTTGTGATATGGTATAAGGTTATTTTTGCTTGAAACAGTTTGAAACCATTCATGCATAAAAAAAGTTCGCTAATAAATAGTCTTTTGTCAATCCGCCGCCGTATAGCGCAGGCGTTTATTTCCTTTTGAAAACACTTGTTTTGCTATTCTTACTAATTAGACGTTTTCAGAGCGACTTTACTTTTACATTTGTATAACATTAAATAATATTTAACATTTGTAAATATCAATGAACCATGTACCTTATTTTTTTCCAAATTGAGGATCTTGATTGTTTCATATTTACAAATGTTATTATTAGGTGAAAATTTAATTTAATAAGGACTAAGGTTTTCCAGGGTGATTTAGCTGTACCTACTTATATAAATGATTTTTTATAAAACAAAAAAATAGTACAAAAGGTTTGTAATCTCTGCATAAAATAAGTCACTCTCAATTTCAAAGAAAACACGTAAAAAAACACGTAGTTACCCACTAAAAACAAGTATCCTTCCGTTTGTAACTGATGTTTGATGTCAAATAAACTTAATTAGGTCTAAACAAGTAAAACAACCATAAGTCTATGGCGCATGACACGCCAAGCGTGTCATGAAATATTTGTTCGCCGCCACAGCTAAAAGTTGTCGAAAATTGGTGCCGCAACGAATCGGTTAAGCAATTTCTTTGTTCTTGTAATTATACACATTTTCAGAGTATAACCTTTTTTTTCCAACGAGGCTGACACACTGGTGTGTATCTATAGAAATTACACATTGACAAATATCCAAACCCAGAATAATTATAGATGGTGTCAGCATATTAGCCACTAAACTACCAACTTATCATAAACAAATCTAATGGAGATTTTTTTTATAGAATACAGTGATAAACAAGCTCTCAGTCCACCTAATGGTAATAACAGACACTGTGGTCAATAGAGTCAAAATTTGTCCTCAATTAAGAATCAAAATACAGATGCGTTGTCACCCCTGGAGACTAAAATGGAATGCCTCATTTACAGTGAAAATGGTCTCCGGTTCTCTAGGCTCACCATATGAAACACAATAGCTGTTATTTTACACTGGTATTATGTAAGTGTAGTCCTAGGTTGTAACAACCCATTTGTGCTACAACCACAATATAGCTGCAATGTGGGTCTATGAATAAATGATTTGTGCGAAACTGACACAAGTATTAGTACTAATAGGTTAATTGTAAAACTGTGAACTTACTTTGAACCAATCACTAATATTAAGATCTCTGTGGAGTGCATACAACAGGTTAGGAGTATGCCTTGTTATGAAAAGTGGACACTACAATTACTGAGTGTTAATGTCTTGCTCAAAATTTATGGCAAATGCTTAGTTAGAAGTCTCGTTTTTGGTGGGACATCCCAAATCCCAATCCCATGCCTAAAATAAATGTCATTTGTGGGACCAGCACAATTCTGCTTTTCAGGGGTATGTGGGCGACTCAACTGGTTGGCCACCTAAAAGTGACTTAAATAAGTTTTGTTCAGAATATCTCATAATTGTTTTCACTAAGATGGTAGAATTATCCCAATTGTTTTTAAACTATCTGTAAATTCAAGTAATAAAATGGTTATCCTTAAAAACTATTAAACTAAATAAATTATTTGTTACTTGATAATTTTCAAGGAGTATGAATTTGTGATTCAATAGTTTACACTTTTTTATTTACTATTATAATTTATAAGTCAGAGCTTGAGAACTTTCCCACCTGATGATAAGTAGTATTGCAGCCGAAGGCAACAACAACAATAACTTACAACTGTTAAATGTATTTTTTTATTCCAACATAGCAAAATTCTAAAAATATAATGTCGGCAGCATAAAAATTAAACTATTTTGTTCCACTAAAATGCATTGGGGACATATGGAAAGCAGAATTTCTTTATGTCTATGCTAAACAGGGATTAAATATGCACTGACAACAAATGGCATGTGCAATAATAAATGTTAAAATAAAATAATAATTATAGCTTTTGTTTATTATGTATTTTGAAGTTTGCTCACAAAGCCAAATTAAATTTACATAAATACAATTTATTGATAACTTTTTATACAAGACGTAAATAGTACACAAAAGATTAACAATAAATCATGTTGATGGAGTATAATAATGGAAAAATAAATTACCTAATGTTTTTAAAGTTCTTTATATAAAAAAAAAACAATGTTACTGCATCACTAGAGATCAACAAACTGATATTATTATATTATATATTCCAGCACGTCTTGCACTTAAATAGATGTGATAAGATTTGTACAAAGGCATTGAACTTTGTGACCGTACACACTTTCCTTTGTATAAAATTAACCAAATTTGATAACCATGAAATATATACATTTAAGTCTCCTGATATTTCATATTCACTATTTAATTATTGTAAAAAAATATGCATACCTAATATCATAACGAAGCTACAAGTGAGAGGGTAAACAATGATGAGAAGGGCAGGGTCGGACTGTGCCGAGGTGTCCTGGCGAGGCTATGTAGAAATGCAAGAGGTTAACTCGCGGGCGGCGGCCGCGCGACGCGCCGTCACTCGCCGATAATAGAAATTTCTTTACAATTGTCTCTTCACAAGTTACTTGGCTAGGATGTGTAACATAACTTGCACTTTGAATCATGATATTTTTATTACTTTCGTCCCATTTGAATCGCGCGCGTGGGATAGGCACTGTTGGGTGCGTGCAGGCGGCGCGAGGTTCGCGGCCGCTCAGTTGTCCATAGCATATCTCCGTGTCCACTCCTTCGCATTTCGAATTGCTTCGCTTTCATTCACCTTCCAAAGTTCAGCTACATCGTTCGCCAAAGGATCATCAGGATTCGGTGCTGACAGCAATGCCTGGATCGAAAGCAGCACCGTACGAATTTGCAGAGCGGGGCTCCACTTATCCTTCAGTATATCCAAACATATACGACCCAGCCGGTCTATGTTTGGATGGTATATTTTCGTTATAAACCTAACCTTAGGCGCCGACATAGGGTAGTCTTCGGGCAGGAAAAGTTCTAATTTGAAAAGTCCTCCTTCAAAAGGCGAGTCTTCCGGACCGGTAACAATTACATGAAAATAGCGGGCATTAGTTTCACTAGGCACTGCGCTAATACCAGGCACGGGTTCCTGCATAAGTCGCTGTGTCTCTTTGATTATTCTACGTGGTAAGGCTGCCATTTTATTTATGCGGTCTAGCGCAATTTATCAAATGAAAGCAGGTAACCATATAAATGTAAAAAAAATCTAATTGTTTGTTCACTGCACGTGTAATTAGTGATTTATGAGGCACAAATTCTATATCAATAAATTATAATAGCATTTTAGCCATACTTTTTCTGAAAAAACGACTTTAAAGGCGAAGGAGAAGTACCAACTTTAATTTTTCAACTATAGACAATGTAGACCACAGAACACTATGACTTTATAACCATAGAGAGAGAGTCAGCATTATTATGGTAAAGTCAAGGCAAATAGCAGTAACCTTGGGGCCACATTTTAAGTGTGCACTATTAAAATGAATAAGGTTTCGAACAATTTGATATTTAACTTATGAAATGTAGGTTTTAAATACTTTCCCTGCTATATGTGTTGCACATAAAAGTTTATATTTTGTTGAATGTACAACCTGACTCTGATGGGCAAATTGCAAAAAACGTAAGAAAATTTGAATTTCGCGGCCACCTTGGCGCTTTCACCTCAAAAGCGTGTTTTCGGCCAGTCTAAATAAGGCCACAACGAAATATTACCTATGCGATACGGTAAAGATCCATTGCAACAAAATCGTTAGTTCTATGCATAGATAATCGTAGTATTATATAGGCTTGAATTCCAATACATATAAAATACTTTCCGAGTTATTATGTAAGGTTAGGGCGAAGGAATGCCTCTGAATTTATTTACAGCAACTATAGTCATGTATGGAATTTTTAATCAATTTATTTAAATGAAACTTTTTTTCAATTGCGTTGAAATATAGTTTTCAATAATGGTAACATAATATATATTTACTTTGAAAAAGAAAAACTTATTCACGCTAGTTACATATGCCTACTGACCTTCACATACCACCAGGAAGTTCCCTGCCATACAGCATCTAAGTAAATAACAGCACGTCTTTTAAGACGTGAGTCAATTTACTTACGTGACTTAAGAATATTCAACATGGTATAAAAACCAAGGTCCAATTGTTTAGACAGCCCAGTAGTAATTAAGCTAGTTTGTAAGTTAGGTAGTCTATTATTCCTGTGTACTCAGTACTCACATTGTCACAGTAGTTGTTAACTAGTAAGTTAGAAAATAAAAGTAATAAAGAAAAAAGTCTTCGTCTCCTTCCACTTCAACCCTCCCTAAGCAGACGCAAACGTAAGCTGCTATTAATAATTTTGTGATATTATTCTGTTTTCGAATTTATATAAATTAAACACTAAATATTCTTAATATAAAAATAGAATTTGAACGTTATTTAAATAATATGCTTAGAACAAGAAACTTAAAATACACTGGAGTTATGGAGTGTAGTAGTAGTTAAGGAGGACCATCTCTGTATATGAAAAGTGTCCCTAAAAACGTGTCCAATAAGGGTGGCGCTGCAGTAGCATAGGATAAATTAAAAAAGAAGCGCCAAAAGTATTTAGAGTAAGATGGAGAAATAAATAAGGACCGATCAATCCGCTTGGTAAATAGTTGAGATTTTGTATATTGGCGTTTTACTAACTACTCTAGTCATGAAATATTTGAATTCAGCTGACTTCACTCCGTTCATAACAGCTATCTTCATATCGTAGTTTTTCAGACGCCAGCGCTATTGTGGTAGGTTTTGGAACCTCTATTTACAGTAAATAGTAGGACACTTTTTCAACCTTCGCTCCTTATAAGATGGTTCTCCTTCTACTCTACACTCCATAACTGGAGTATAGACAACCTGACAGCCTGAAAAACGTGACAAATTTTGATTTGTTACTTATTGTGTACGTAAGCTAGTGATGTATATTTTCCCATAGACATAGAGAATGGACTGAGTGTTAGCTTCACAAAAGTGCAGACCATACCAGGCGGCGTGCGGGGGCGTGCAGTGGCCACAGGGACGAGCGAGCTGTTCGAGTGCTTAGGCCGTATTTCAGGTGTTACAAACCATGGCGATCTTTATGATCTTTACGATCCCGAGATGGGAGATGTTGAACATAACAGAGGGTGTGCACGAAATAAATAAAACAGAGAAATAAATAGTGAATTTTTTTACGAATTTTTTACGATTTTTATTTGTATGAAGAATTGAGATTGTACCCTAGAAAAATCTTTGTGTACCCTTGAATGTCCATGTCAACATTTGATTATATCATGAGTAAAATATCATCAAAAATAACAAAAAAAAATTGAAGATGAGCTAACGCCGAGCGATAAGACCGAATTGGTTTGATACCCCCGTCACCCGCGCATAGAGTCGCTTGCTGACTAGGCCCGTAGTGGGGCCCTAACGCATGGATAGGAACGTTTGAAAACTACACGCGCTATCTCGATGATGCCCGTCGTGCTAGGCGCCCGTCTTAGTCACTACACTATGGACGCAAACGGTGGTTTCATATATTTGATACTTCGCGCCCGTCGTCACAACCACGCAAGGCTCGCACTGTGGACCAGGGCTTACCCCTACACTCTATAATTTACTCATAGTTTTGACTAGCTGTCCCCCGCGACTTCGCTCGCGTGTTAGGGTTTTTATGTTTTTGCGCGGAATCCTAATTATTTTTCTAAAATTAAAGTAGCCTAAGTTACTCCTTATGAAATTAGCTACCTGCCAGTGAAAGTCCCGTCAAAATCGGTCCAGCCGTTTCGGAGATTAGCCGGAACAAACAGATAGACAGACACAAAAATTTTAAAAATTGTTTTTTTTTTTGTTATTAGTACCGTATATACTTTCATATGCAATTAGTAAAAACCTGTAATTTTGACGTTACAAACAGACACTTCAATTTTATTTATTTGTATAGATATGCGTAAGCATCATATTAGTCTGTGATATACCGGTTTATAAATAGTTATCGATAAAAATGGCAAAGGCATATGGTCTATACAGTCTCTCGTGATTATAATCATTTTCGAGATTATATGTTCTGATTTATTTATATACTAGCTGTTCCCCGCGACTTCGCCCGCGTGTAATTTAGGGTTTTAATTATGTTGCGCGGAACCCTAATTCTTTTTGTAATATACAAGTAGCCTATGTTAATAGAATAGAATAATAGAATGAAATAATTTTTTTTAGTAAATCTTATTTAACGTCATTTTTTACTTTACCACTGGTTCGAAAAAAAACCTTCTGTCCTGGGAAGTACCAGCAAGAAACCCAGCGGGACTTTTTTTTAAAATAAATTTTACAATATATATGATTACGAACTATTTACAAAATTTATTTTAGAAACGTCTTGAAAGCGACCACGTCATTCCCAGGGGTTATTATCAACCATGTATTCATTTATACTATAATAACCCTTTTATACAGTTTCAGCTTAATAAACCATTTAAACTTGGTAATAGAGATAACCTGTACACTTTCTGGGATCCTGTTGTAATAGCGTATACATTGCCCCCAAGAATGAATTACTGATTCTGTGGAGTCGAGAAACTGACATCACTAGGTTGTGTTTGTTGCTAGTGTTTACAGAATGTACATCACTTTTCTTACTAAAACTACCTCTGTTTTTGTGAAAATACATTAAATTTTCGTAAATATACTGAGAGGCCAAAGTTAATATATTTATTTCTTTAAATTTATCTCTAAGAGACTCTCTCGATTTAGATTCTAAATAGCTCTAATGGCCCTCTTCTGTAAAACAAAAACAGTTTCCGAATCAGCCACATTTCCCCATAGCAAAATCCCATAAGACATTATGCTATGGAAATAACTGAAATAGACTAATCTAGCTGTCTCTACATTAGTGAGACCTATAATCTTTTTTACAGCATAGGCTGCAGAACTTAGCCTGCTTGCTAATTTGGATATATGGGGGCCCCACTGAAGCTTTGCGTCGAGAGTGATGCCAAGAAAAGCAGTGGATACAACAGGGCTCAATTCCTCCCCATTTAAAAACACATTGTTATTCAGATTTTTAACATTCATTGTTGTAAATTTAACACAATTAGTTTTATTTCCGTTCAAATGCAGATTATTAACGTTAAACCAATGCACTAATTTTGATATAGCATTATTCACTTCGTCACATTTAAATGATTGACGTTTAAGTTTAAAAATCAAGGAAGTATCATCAGCAAATAATACTATATCATGACTATCCCCTACAAGGTGAGGTAATATACACCAGAAACAAAAATGGGCCGAGAATCGAGCCCTGAGGGACCTTCTGCTTTCTATTACCTAAATATGAAATAATAAGTATAAGCGCTGTGTTCTTGACACCATAGTACTGTAGCTTCCTGATTAATGTCTCATGGTGAACACAGTCGAAGGCCTTGGAAAGGTCACAAAATGTACGCAAAGCATCCTCTGTATTAACCCATGCACAAAAAATATGTTTAATAAGCTCAACTCCAGCGTCAGTTGATAAAAGAAAATTTGTTGAAAAAAAAATCACCCAATCGACATTTACCAACTTTGATTTTAGTAAATTTTTGAGCTTATCATTGCAGATAATGCATTTTTAACGATGGTGCAGTTATATTCAAGCAAGGTGCAGTTTTTTTATATAGAAAAAAGTACCCAATTCTAATTATTTGAAGTAATATCGACGTTATAAGCTGAACGAACTTAACTATTTTTTATTTCTAAACAACATGGGTACAGTTTAAATAATTAATATTTTTTAGATGTGAAAATACGTCTGCCAGTACTTTGTTTTTATATATATATATATATATATATATACTCCAAATTCATAGGATGGGGTGGGGGGGGGGGGGGTTGGACGGTTGCTGATTGTAATCAAGTGCATCTGTGTGATACTACATTTTATTATTACTATCATAAGCCAGTTCTTCAATCACATTAAAATCTGATAGAAAGGCTGTTGCTGACAAATTATAATTATTTTAATTATGTTCTAAACATAGTTATTCTAACTCTGATACGGAAAGTTCTCTAGAATGCCATGAAGAAATAGATGCAAACGAATTAAAAGAATGGTTTCAAATCATACTACAGAACTTCCACGATCAATGCACAA